CATGGATTAATCAAAGGAAATTAAAAACAATGATACAACAAGTAATTAATACTTTGCTGAAGAAGATTTCCCCCAGAACTTCACGATATAAGAAACTAGCTAAGATTCCTGCACCGGTTAGTAGTCAAGCTTCTTTATGGAATTTAAAGATTAGCATTGAAGAATGATGAAGGCGCAGAGTGTACCATCTTCCAACACTGAATATAATGATAACAGTCTACTCACCCTATAGTCCGCGAGTAAGGGATTTATCCTTGGAAGCGTGAAGGGTGATGAAACTGTTTGTTTATGTGTGGTTAATGCGGTACCATACAAAGCGCTGTTGGAGTTGTGGCCACACGAAAACAGTAGCTTTGTTTTTCCTGACGGCGTGCACGCTAATTTTGGATGTATTATAAATCATGAACAAATTCTAATTTAAATTATTCTACTCCAGTTTGATATTGCGTATGAAGGTGTCTGCACACTATGTTAACCTCAAAGTTTTATCAATACCATCCAATAATCAATAATGACATTCGCTAATTTTTTATGATAATCTCGCTATTCAATAAAGAATGTGGAAGGTCCACTCAGCTTTAACGAGATAGAAGCCAACATTATGGAGTTGAAGTCAAAATTTTCGGTAAGTACATTCCGCAAACATTACATAATAATAATAATAAGTCTTATCACCAGATTTCTCATAGCTTTCTGATTTTATTAGAAAAATCCATCACCCCTTTTCAACCGTTTGCTTGTTGATCTACAAGGTATTTCTGCATATGAATTGTCATGGAAGGACCCTATCGCCAGCCAGGTTGTTAGCGATAACTCGGATATGATACGGCAATTACCGGAAGATTTATTTAATAATTTTATGGTAGGTGATTTACCTTCATTGACAAGGGTTTATTCAATCTTTTCTTTTTCACCTGCACTAATGGTCAACTTGGCTTTATGTGCTCGTTGCGGGCATTAATAATTGATTTAACTTCACTAGGAACTTGCACAAAAAATGGTACCTCCCTCTTTATCGGTCGTTCAAGAAGCATGTAGAAGATTTATATCAAGTTTTGATGAGTTTCCTGCTGTAATTTATCCAGAGAACCTATCACACGACGGGAATTGGAAAGAATCAAACGATTCTCTATTAGAGATTGCATCTGGGATTCTCAATG